AACAGAGATTCACATAGAAAACAGCTGTTTGAATCATAAAAATATGTCACAATTTTACTGCTTTTGCTGTATTTTTGATCAAATAAAAAACTCATACAGTGAGTAAATAAGTGTCCCTGCAGCACAAAAGCAGTGTTAAGTCGCTGGGGGATATTTGTAGCAATAGCCAACAATACATTGTATGGGTCACAATTATACATTTCTCTTTTATGCCAAAAATCATTAGGATATTAAGTAAAGATCATGTTCCATGAAGATATTTTGTACATTGCCTACCGTAAATATATCAAAACTTAATGTTTGATTAGTAAGATTATGCATTGCTAAGAACTTCATTTGAACAACTTTAAAGATGATTTTCTCAATATTTAGATGTTTTTGCACCCTCAGATTCCAGATTTTCAAATATTGTCCGATCCTAACAAACCATACATCAATGGAAAGCTTATTTATTCAGCTTTCAGATCTCAATTTTAAAAATTTACCCTTATGACTGGTTTTGTTCTCCAGGGTCACATATCAAGAGTGAAGGGAGTAAACATAATGACTTTAATGATGGAAAAAAAACTACAATCCCATAAAGCATTGCAAATTGACATAAAATGGAGAAATATAGGCTAAATCTATTGATTTCATGATGTTATGTAAGTGTATTGCATCATTTTGCAGTGGTTTCTTCTCAGAGTCATGAGTAATGGAGTTTTCCACCAGGAATTCTGCTGTTAAACGTGATTATTTTCACACCAGATGAAATAATGCTTACATTGTTTACAAGCCGTTATATTGACGTCTTTGCGTGTCTGAAACACCGATTGAGCGATTACACGAGACAGGATACGGATTGTAAAGTTGTACTCTTTCTTTTAACTTACCTTCAGATGTTTAGTCATGTTTATTTTGTGCTATAACTAGTAATAAAGCGGAGGAGATGATCAGTTCCCTGAGGCACTACAGTGATCACTCCACATTAAACCGCGCCAAAACGGCATTTATTGTTTAAATACTGCAATACAATGGACAGAATTTGAAATCTGAGACTGTGTTTCATATTAAAAGCACCAAAGCACAATGCTTATTGCGATTTATTGGATGGGAAGTACCCTTCAACACTCCGTCCATTAACTGAAAACAGGCTAGAATAATC